TGATGTAGACAGCAGCTGTGTAAATAGCAGTGCTGGTGCTTATAGTCTTTAGTTCTGATGGCACACCTTTTATTTTCTTTCCCCTTTTTTTTTTTCCTCTTCTGGCAGTATTTTTGCCTTTCTGAGCACCAGTTTCATTTCGTGGAAGGTTCAGGATTATCTGCACTGCTGCACTGCTGTAATGCTCAGTGTACTGCTGTACAATAAAATAAGTCCTTACACTTACAAATTTTGAGATTAAGAATCATTTTTTGGAAGAGTAGACAACGTCCACGGTAAGCCACAGCATATACAAGGTTGGCAAGATTGTTCCCAGTGAGGATCCTACCTACCTTGTATGTCTAATATTGCACAATACCCTGCAAATGTATCCATTTTGCAATTCTGCAGGCTATCTTTTTCCCCTTTCTTCTAAAAAAAATTGAAACATCCTGTGATAAAAGTTTTAGTTATGTTGCTGTGGTGGAGCATGCTACAGCACACAGAGTCTTCAGTCTAAAAAATGATGGGATTTCTTAAGGTATTTCAGCACCCGAATCTTTTTAAAGACATTAGTGCCAACAGTTGCAATTTAAGTTCATGCATGGAAACAAAGATTGTTGCTGATAGGGATTTGGTGACTTTGTCTTGGAGGTGATTTTTGTGTCCAGAATCATGAGATGTGGCCTATGGAGATGTAAAATTCTGAAATTGTTATGATTTTGAGGTAGTGCATTTTTCTAAAATTAAAAGAATTTGATACTGGATTGATTACTAGATGACCCCATTCTAGCTTGTGAAGGGGTTGACTGGAACCTGTAAAGCTTGCTAGTGAGTCCATTTCATCTTTATTGTCCCTCTCCATTCATGGTGTGATAAAGTTCAGGTTGTTCTCATTCTTAAAATTTTTCCATAGGTTTCTTGAGTTCATCGTGTATTGTTTCTCTTCACACTTTTTGGAACTTGTTACTTTCTGTTTATTTTGGTCTCTGATGCTTTTCTCGTTTGCAYATGCAAGACAAAAGAAAGAATGCCTTCATTGTCAGCACGTAGTTACTCCTAATTTACAAAAGACTTGCCAGTAGACTTGTGACTCAAGTGACTTCAAAGGATCCTTGGTTTCTGTTCCTTAATTCACATTAACAGTGATAGAGTCAAAATGTTAAAAAATTACTCATTCACTTAATCCAGTGGTACAGTTTCAGCAAACTTTTTGAGAAAAGATGCTGTGCCTTTAGTCTGGAATGCCTATTGACAAAAATACAGTTTTCTGTCTTATTCTGTAAGAAATGGTATCAGCTAGCTGCAGTGTCCATTTATAGTCTCTGCAAGATACCTGTGGGTTTTCCAACCTCTGTGGGTAATTTGACTACCCAGTAAGCAAGCAGGCTTTCTAATCCTCCTGAGAGGAGGGAGGTCAGCCAGTTCCAGCAGAATGCCATCCCCTTGAATGCCCTGCCATGTACCAGGTACAGCTGACCAGACTTGCTGGGGTTGTTGTTGTGTACATTGTAAGGATTAATTAAATAAAAATAATGATATTTTTATTTTAAAAAAGGAAAAGCCCTGTGGGTTAAGGGAAGGCAATTAATGTTCTGGAGCAAGAGTGCATACTCTCCRAAGGATTCCTTAATCACCAGTTGCATGCTGCTGTGGCAGGAGAAATGCCTCAGCAAACATCACAATAATGGGCATCAGGGATATTGAGCACTGCAGCCCGCCTTGTTCCATTCTCACAAGTTGTACTAAAGATTTATAGAGCAATCAGCCATGGTCTGTGTAGTGGTTTCAGTATAATTTGACCATATTTTTTTGTGAACAAGGGGAAATTTGTCAAATAAGCATTTATTCTGTTTGTAGCTGGGATGGTTCTTGACWGCATGGTGGCCAAAATCTTTTGCTTGGTTTTTGGTTTGGTTGGTTTTTTGGTTTTGAGGAAAAACCAGGATGGAGAATAAAGCTCTTTTCAGGTCGCTGCTTTAGGTTAAAACAGCTGCATTTCCAGCAGTTCAGTAACTGCACTGGTCTACTGAGCATAAACTGGTATCCTCCCTCTTGACAGCAGATGYACGGCCCAGTTAATAGGTCACAGTAGCAGAATGAGGGGGCTAAATCGGACATGAGCCATCATTTGCAGAAGTACAGTCCAGATTTATCAGGGTGACCTTGAATTGCTGCAAATGGAGCCTCTTAGGATACTGCAGCTCTACTGTCAGGTAATACCTATTTACACTATAAATATCTTAAGAGAATTAATGATCCAGGTCCCTGTGCTGAGGTAGGTGAAAACTTCCCCCTCAAGATGCAAGAAGTTAATTAGTGTTTCATTAGCTATTGTGCACCCAAGCAGGATGTTGTGTGGCAGAAATAAAGATTAAATGAATTGAAAGARAACCCTGAGAAAATATCGATGCAAAATTATGGTACAATGGTTTTACCATGTTATGTATCACATTGGAAATAAATGGGCACCAATATGTGTGGTAACTTCGGCTATTTTGTTTCAGATAGTGTTAGAAGTGAGGGAGGAGAGAGAGACAGCATAGCTAAACAAAGACAGCATGGGGGGCCCAATGCTTGCTAGTTACCAACTTGTAGAAAAGGACAAAATGTTTCAGATGCTTTTCTCACGTGGGGGAAGAATCTAATCTGATGTGAGCTAGGGACAATTACTGGCGGAAGCTAGAGGAACCACAGTTTTTTGAGGTTACTGCAGGACAGCAGGATGATGTGCACATCCAAAAGGCATTAAAAGATAGAGAAGAACCACATATGCCAGTAGTGTAGTCTTTTTAGCATCTACCTTATGAAAAATATTTTTAAACCTTATGAAAAATATTTTTATATTCAGCCTACTAATCACTTAATGTTTCTTTTTTTCTGTCTTGGAGGTGTTTGTAAAATGATGTTAGATGTTGCAAAACAAAAGCACTGCTGGCTTTTATTAAAACTGACATAATGGTGTACTATTGTTTCCAAGAGAAAATATTTTTTTCTTTTTAGTTGACATTTGACTCTACATTTCACAAGTTTATGTCGTATTAATTACATATAGTTATTTACAAAGAATTCATTATTGTTGCTTGGATTTGTTTTGGTGATATCTTTACTAGGRTATCATCCACAACATGCCGTGCAAAATCTGGGTTTGATTATGATGGGTGTCATGTGAACCTTGGGACTGAGAACAATACAATCTCTATTCACAGGTGAAATGTTAATTCCAAGTTGATGGAGTGTACTCCAGTAGTAGGGAAATCTTCCTTAAATGTGGAGTAGATGCTATTTCTTTACTAGGTTCAAGTAGGAGCTGTTTAGAAATATTCTGGTTATTTGCATCATTACTGTTGACCTGTGTGCTTTCAAAGGGTAGGAAAGTTGCAAAACTCCCTGCAAGGAGTTTATAGCAAGAATAGGAGCTGGGAGAGGGCAGTTCAGAGGCAGCAGGGTGAAGTGGCAAGGAGAAGGCCAAAAGCTGCAAGGTGATGATACCAAAGCTTAGGTCCAGGAGCCACTGGTCTGAATTTAATGTGTCCTTTAGGTACTTGCTCTTGGTCCCAGGCTGGTGGCTGGGAATGAACTGCTTGGTTCAAAATCAGTATCTTCTTTTGTATAAAATGTTCAGAATACRATAGATAATGTACTTTGTGTGGCAGCACTGTTCTTTAAGCCATAAAAAGCTCTTTCAGTCTCAGTTCCACACCAGCTAAGGCAACAGCGGAAGGAATGCTACTTCTGTCAGAATAGGTTTTATATAAATAGGCTTTTCTGATTTAGAGCAGAGTTTCACCCCCACTTCCACCCCCAATAAAGAAAAATGCTCCTTTAGCATATTGTAGCCAGTCTAGAAAGCCCTAATGCCAAAGATCGATGCATTTTATTGGGCTAACCTCTGTAAATACTGGAGATCCAAACTGGTCCAGTGTATGTCCTTGCACTCCCTGTTCTATTAAAGTGAAGATTTGTTGGCTTCCATGGTAATGCCCGGTTTACAGGTGATTTGAGTATGACTGAGGACTGTTCCTTTTGACAGCAGTGCTGGCTCAGTGCTGGCAGTACTAGCACTGCTTCTGCAATGCCCCCTTCACTGCTGATAGAACAGCATGGCTGCATGGAGAGCTGGATCAGGAAAATGACATGGATTTTTTAATTGTTTTTTTTTCCTGCCAGCTTATTTTTATCTCTTAAATTATGTAATTATTCCATAACTTGAATTTTCTGCTTGGATTCTGTCCCAGACAATTGTTAAGAKTCAGTAGCTATGGGGAACATAGAGACAGCCATTTTTCTGTAATATGTGCASTGTAGCACAGTAAATGGAGAAAAATTCATCAGTCTCTTGTGACTTGGGGGTGGGATGTGGGCGTGTGCTTTATTAGCCATCTCCCCAAAGAGTGAAAATTGTATGTAGATACTCTGAGCTATCTATAGTGAGCAGCTATTGCTTTCTGTGGCTTTCTGTGGACATGCTGAGTCATTTCAGAGAGAAGTGCTCCTAAAATGCTAAATAGGCATCCATGTCTCTGGCGTCCTATGGACCTTTTGACTGATTTTCAAATGTAATCTGAAAACCCATATTCTTGTCCATTTGTACTTAAATTATTGTTTTGCACCTTCCTTCTTTGTGCATAGAATAAGCTACTCTGCTTCCTCGGAATTTTCTTAATGGCTTCCCATGTAATCCTGCTTAGGGACACTCACCTTTGTCCTCTGAGATGGGTGTGTAAAAACCAAGCTGTTTTGCAGTGAATGCTTAATAAGCTCTATGCAGCACTTCATCACACTTTGGTAAGCTATCACAGCAGAGGCTGGTCTGCAAGGCTGCTCAGCTGCTGTGGTCCAGCCATCACAGGGGTTAGAGTGTAGCATACATTGCTTTTCAACATCTGATCTTCCAGATCATGACATGAGGCAGAACCATTAGCTTACTGAATTTCCTTTCATGGGTATTTTGTTAGACTCTTAAAATTTGAGTCTCTCCTGTGTTTCAGCTTGTACAGTGACCTACTTGTATCTTTCAGATAAAGAGAAGGAGAAAATAAAGCTTGAAGAAGATGAGGCAGCAGCTGCCAGCACTATGGCAGTCTCAGCTTCCCTCATGCCACCCATTTGGGACAAAACTATTCCTTATGATGGCGAGTCTTTCCACCTGGAGTACATGGATCTGGATGAGTTCCTGCTGGAGAATGGGATTCCTTCCAGCCCTACTCACCTGGATTTGAATCAGAATCCACTCTTGCCCGTGGCTGAGCTGGAAGGAAAGGAACCTGCTGGTGCTTCCACTGGTTCTCCTGCATCATCCTCTTCCACTGCAGTTTACCAGCAATCTGAAGCAGCCTCCAGCACAGGTAGATGGAATAATATGGGACCTGTTGCTCTTAAATTGAAAGGTGCCTTTTTAGATYGAAGACATGCTAGCCTGTCAGTGTTAGCTGTGGCAGGTTAAACAGTACAAACATGCTCAGTGTAGAGCTTTAGTTCGTGTGTCAATTCATGAAAATGCTGCCTCTCCTTTTCTTCCCCTCCTCCTGTCCTATGAAAAATTAGTGTCTATCAATGTGCAGTCTGTTTTTCTATCAGTGTGCAGTCTGTTTTGCTTTTGAAATTAGAAGACTTGAAACAGCAAGATAAAATATTTGCTTTCTTGGTATTGCTAATCTAGTGAGAAGTTGGACATGTTGAGAAAATACCTTCTCAGGTTATTTTRCAATAGCTTTGATAGCTTGTCACAAGTAATTTGTACTACCTTGGTCTGCTTGGGTGAACTTATGTGAACTTAATGTACCTCAAATAACAATGTTAAATAGAAAAACAATGAAGCAATCTTTTTGTGGTAGCCTGGGAAATGTGAGAACAGACACTTGGAAAAGGTGTTTTAGTGATGCAGTTTGATGTTCTGTGGTTCTTTGAAGTGGGAATGAAGGAACAAAAAGCCAAAACTGTGCTTAAATGGTACTAGGAAACTTCATTTGTAGTATCAGGATCTTTTCTATTAAAGAATTCAGTTTGCCCTAGATTCAGAGTGTAAACATGATAGCCATCAGAGTATTATTTTATGAGTAAGTTTACAGAGAGCATTTTTCTCTGGACTTCTGTGGATCTGTGAGAAAGATAATGTGAAACTCCCTCTGTAAATTATAGGRTATAGCTTTTTTCCAGGTGGTATATGAAAAACTTATTTATTGATCACTACTGCACATTGCACTGCCATTTGCAACTCATGTATATAAAGTTTTGTAAACAATAGGTTAATATGCTAACATTCATATGAACGCTATCAGTGTCAGACAATCTGTTGGGGCATTTGTTTCTGAGTGGTAAAGGAGAAGAAAACTGTTGCATTTGTAACAAATCCTCCTTTATTTAGTGATTTGGTTGTCTGGTTATCTGACCTTTGAATGYCCCAGGAACTGGGGTCTTTGGGCAGGCTTGTTTCTGTAAGGATTTCTCTGATACAAAACTCAGGCTAATACAAGTTTTTTCCTTCTTACTATTGTTGAAGGTGTTTTTTATGTATACATTTTTTCCAAGGAGCTATTAACTTCTGTCCTGCATCTGTCTACTCATGTCTGTTAGTCTGGCATATGTTCCTTGAGTTGTATTACAGACTGGACTGTGAACTCTTTCTCTGTACCAGCAGCAGTACTCACTTCCCACACCTCAGGGAAGCAACAAAGCACAATACTTTTAAATACTTCTCACAACAGGGCAGTAAATAGACACATAATTTGGCTTCTTTGCTGATTCTCTTCATCCTGCTGAATATATTGTAATTTCTCYTGTTGTTGCCAGAGTCCCCACCACAAAATGAGAGAAATACGCCCAGCCCCATTGATCCTGACTGCGTAGAAGTTGAGGTGAATTTTAACCCTGACCCTGCTGATTTAGTGCTGTCCAGTGTGCCTGGTGGTGAGCTCTTCAATCCTCGCAAACACAAGTTTACTGAAGAGGACCTGAAACCACAACCTATGATTAAAAAAGCCAAGAAGGTTTTTGTCCCAGATGAGCAAAAGGTAACAGATTTATTGCTGCAAACTCTTCTAGGCCTTGATAAAAGTTTATGACTCTTTGTCCAAACGCTTAGACATACATACCTAATGCAGTATACCTACATGATTGGGCAGAAGCACTGCCAAGAATAGAATTGGCAAGCCAACTGCTGTGCTTGCTGTTTTGCAGGTTTTGGTATCATGGGATAATTACTGCCAAGAAGCAACTGATCATGCTATACACAGAAATTAGAAGAGCTATCAAGTCAAATCCTCATCACCTTCACTTTTGAAAGGCATTGTCTGTATTTGCCCAGTATTATGTCTGATCTGAATTTAAGACAACAGGTGGTTTTCTGTCAAAATGCATCCCTGAATTGAAACTAAGTAAAGGGAGCGTTTCAGTTGGACAGCTTCTTAATACCCAAGTCTCTTAATCCTCTTAGGGTTGGTTTATCCTAAAAGAAGGCTTGTGTGAAGATGAAATCTTACAGTGCTGTGTTGTCTCCATTTTGATGTCAGAGCCCTGCAAAAACCTATGGAGGAGATTCCTCAATATAGCAGTCAGTRTGAATATCATTATACAATAAAGAGGTGTCTCTGAAACAGTTGTCAGTCGGGCATCTTTTTTTTACTATAGGATGAAAAATATTGGACAAGGCGAAAGAAGAACAATGTGGCAGCAAAGCGTTCCCGTGATGCTCGGCGATTAAAGGAGAATCAGATCACAATTCGGGCAGCCTTTCTTGAGAAAGAAAATACAGCCCTGAGGACGGAGGTTGCAGAGCTGCGCAAGGAAGTGGGACGATGCAAGAACATTGTTTCTAAATACGAGACCAGATACGGACCCTTGTAAGCACACCCCTTCTCCTTGTTAGGGCTCTTTGTTTTAGCCTCTTAGACCTCTCTGCCCTCTGTAGAGACTCCCAAAAATAAAGTTTATGGAGGCTTTGCCATTTTGCATCTACATTAGAAAAAAAGCAACAAAACACAAACAAACCCTGTTTCTGTTTGCACAACTTGTTCAGGCCCTTTCCTGATCATTGTGTTGTCCAAACTCTTAGTGTCCATATTTACAACCTTGTTTTTAACACTGATAGAACATTTTCTGATGTCATACAATCAAACAGATTCACTGGAGGAATAAATGTGAATCCCTCCAGAATGGACAGTGCTTTTGCTATCTGTTCTAACCTTCATTTTAAGTGGAGAAAGAGCCTAGGAGACTCTCTTCTCTCTCTCTCTTTTTTTTTTTCTTTTAAATTTTCAAACTCTTGCTCTTTTCTCCTCTCCATTCCACCTACCCCTCCCAGTAAAAGTGTTAAACATAATTTTAGGATGTAAGTAGATGTTGCTGGGCAGCATCATGAAATTGTTTCCTCTCCCATTTAGAGGCACGAAAAAGTACCTGGTGTATAGAACTCTAACCCTGTTGAAGAGGGATAGGGGAACCTTTAGGACAGGAGGACAGAAAAATCAATCTCTTGTAAAAACAAAGTATTGTGGGGTTAATCCATGAGTGTTATGCAGAATGGAGTCGGTGCAGTTTTGATTACAATACTGCCTAAATGTCTTGGTAGGGTCTAATCCTGGATAACTTGCAGAATCCAAGGAGAGAAAACAGTAGTGAATCACTCACTTTACAAATGTGGACAAAATAATTTCATGTGGATTCTAGACTGTATTTCTACCACCACCCCTCTTTTTTTTCCTTAGAGGGTCTTCCCTCTTGAACTGCTGATAAAGCAGCATATTGCACTTAACTGAGAAGTAAAGGAGATTTAGAAAAAGAGGCCTGGCTCATTAGGCTAAACTTTGAGTCCAGCAGTTAAAATATGGCCAGTACCTTATGCTTTGAAAAAAGGGCCTTTTTTTAAGAAGTAAACAAGCCACTGTTACTTTACTGCACCTTACCAGTTGTGCAAGAGATTGAGAAAGAGTTTTAGTCCTTTGTCTCATGAACACACTATGGGATAAGCTACACCCACTATAAACATGAACAGTTTACCTCACTATCTCCTGTGTAGCAGCATATCTGGTCTCTCCTTGCTTGCTGGTTCTATCTCGAGCATGTTTCCTGATAGAAAATTAGCACACAAGACTTGCCCTCTGGTGCACCATTCTGAGCGCCAAGCACTGCTTCAACAGTATGTGGTGTTAAAACAAAAAATATCCTGTTTTTGATGTTGAGACCTTCTATATGACCTGCAATTGCAAGAACTAGAAGCTTTACCAGAAGTCCTCTTAACAAGAGAGGCTGTCTTAAGTGGCTGTGTCAGAACTCTTTGGCTATACTTCCTGGGATACTATTTGTGTTAAGGAGTAAATGTGGGATGATGATGTTGATGGTAGTTGCAGTTCCTCTACTGAAATCTGAAAATATATTAAAAAAGCATTAGGGTTTATTTTCTACGATGAAGACTAGCATGTCTTTTAAACATAATGTGGAAATTATGAGTTAGAGCAATTTTGTATTGACTTCTTAAGGAAGTGGAGAAGCAGGCTAATCCACAACACTTAATGTATGCTTTGAACTATTCCCCTCCTGTTAAGCTCTTAATTTGACTAGAGTGGCTCTTGATGCAGTGTTGGTCTAATTTCTTTTCAAACATACTAAAGATTGTCACCCTTTCAGCAGGGGTTTTTCTTTCACAGGGTGGTTTGTGGTGGTGATGGTGGGAAGTATGTTATAAATAAATTGTCACACTTAACACTTTGCTTTGTTTAAAGTGACTTATCTGATTCCGAGTGATGCAACTTTAAAGACTTTTAAAAACAAAGAAACTAAAAAGCACACATGAATCGCCAGTCTTCAGAGTGAGCAGTGAAATCTGTGAGGTGTCCCAACACAAACAACTGATGATGACCCTGCCTGCCTCCTTGCCTGCAAGTACCCCATCTGACTACCCAGGGCTGGGCATGATGAAAAGTGCAAAGTCTCTTTAATTCTGTATATGGCTTTCTTATCTGTCTTTCTCACTGTAACTATAAGCTTACTTACCAGGGTTTTGTCAAGACACTCAAAGTTCTTGTCTCAGAGTCTGTTGACAGCCTGTGTGAATAGTGACTCTTTGTTTTGGCACAGTGGAAAAAAAGAGGGAGTTTTAAATGAAAGTGTCTGTATATATGAAGAACTGCTATATCTTAAGACTCTTTTCTCTGCAGTATAATGAATTTTATGTAATACTGCGGCTCACTTCTGGTACAGTGTGGCATATTGTGGAGTACTGAGAGTGCAGAACTAAAGACACCAGGAAGACAACAACCTGTAATGTGTGAGACTTCAATGCAGAAGATTACAGCAGATGTATTGAAATAATCCAGAAAGCACCACAGTATGCCATACACAGAGTAACAAACCTCTATCAAAAGACCCATGTAATAGTAAACCACTTTGATCGCTTTCCTGCTCCACAGCTACATTGCTGTAACCTCCCTTTTCCTTTATTCCGTTTAGGAGGCTCACTTTCTTTTATGGTCTGTTCTTCTGATAATGACTTAGCAATCATGGAAAAGGTGCTATTCTGAGCTGCAGATCCCCATGTATTTTGGCAGTCTGAAACTACCAGATGAGTATTAGTCCAGGAAACAGTGGCTATTAGCTGCCATATTACAATTTTCTGTCTCTTGACCGCAMAAGAAGTGCGGTGCTGAAGGTGAAACAGCTAATGCTATCCCACAGTTACAATGGGCAGCTTAAGTGTGAGGACCCTTGTGCTGGTGTGGGAGGATAAATGAAAGCTGGGACAGATGTCAGAGATGTTTATTGTATGGTGATGGAGGAAGTAGGTGGAAGTTCTATTGTAAGAGTTTCATCAGCATAACAAGAATCTGCTCTTACATTAAGGAAGCTTAAGAGCTAAATCCATGTGGGAAGTGAAAGAGTACTTACTTTCTAGGAAAGGAATACAGGGCAATGGTGGTAGCCAAAATGGAGCTTGTAAGACAGGAGTGTTTTCATGCCTGGAGACTGATGAATATCATACACCTCAAGAAAAATAATCTTGAAAGCTTTCAGAAGCACAAGTGCCAAAATTATGAGGCATGACTAGTTACCAGCATAGCTCAGTGTTATTATAGTGAACAATTATTTTGACATTGTGTTTACCCAGGAGATTCCACCCCTAATTTCAGAGTGGAAAGGCAAAGAGAAAAATGTAAGAAGCAGCAGCTAATAGTGTAAGCTTAATAAAAAAAAATCAGAAGCCAGGATTCATAACCAGTGTTTGACAGCATAACCTTTGTAAAGAGCATATATATTAAATGTAGTTATTGACCTATCATTTTTAATGGATGACGTCCTGAAGTCAAGAGTGTTTTTAACTTTTTGCTGGTTACCAAAGTGTACCTATGAGTGTATTATTATAATTTGGGATTTTAAAGCTCTGAGATAATCTTGGGATATTTTTATCAAATAGATGAACAGCTCAGTACCATGTTGCTGAAATATTGGCATATATCTCTGCCTGTATCAACTATTGCTGATTTGGACTGATATTTTGGTATTACTGGTTTTTGCAGTATTTTGGTGGTAAAGGCCAAACTGTGGATTAAAAACAAACCAGCAACAAAACAAACAACCCTGACAGCATGTAAATGTAGCAACTTTTTTCATTTATAATTTCTAAATTTTCAGTTAGCCTTGCCTATTCTTGAAAGTCATGCTTCCATTTAAATCACAAAGCTAAAGGCTATAGTAACTAGGCAAAGAGTTGTTAGTTCTTCATTTGGATCCTACTGTGCTTAGGAATTTCTTTTAAATACTTACATATTGCGTACAGGATTTGGTTTTTCAGTATGTCATGACATTTTAACAGCAAAATATTCAGTCGATGAGATTAGCCTATGCAATTCTATTGTTTTATTTCTGTTATATTAAAAGATTACACAGTGGAAGCTAACAGTGAATGTTCATTAGATATTTCTCTCAGAGAAGACTGTTAGCAAACATTTATGCTTCCCTGTAGGAAAATGCAGATTTGCAGTCTGTGATTGATGTGTCTATGGGTTGCGAAACTGGAAAACCACAATTTTAGGGTGAGTGCGACTCAGCTTTTGTAGCTGGAGAATTTTTTGTTGTTGTCAAGAAGCAGTATTTTTAAAGATAGATGGGAAGGTAGTAACTATTTAAAGAAGTGAAGGTACAGACAAAAATACTGTGCAATGCTGAATTCATTTCTCAGTTTTTGCAGTCTCAGGAAGTTTATTGCTCCAGAGCTCTCTGTTCCTCTTGGAATGATTAGCTATATCTTGTTTCTTTGACTAAGATGACAATCCTATCTGTAAGTAATAACTTGGGTATTTTCTTAGTGATCATAAGAAGACCAATATTCTTTTAGTTCAATTTGAATATTAAAAGATGCTGAACTGACACTGTTAGAGTTTGAAGTTCTCTAGCATTGGAACATACTCTGTAGAGGCCATAAGTGTGCCTGATGCCAACCTACCCCATTCCAGCCACAAAGGGACCATCTCCAAGGGGAGAGAATAAAGGGCATGTGCACCTTTCAGCATCACTGCAGGGACCGCCAGGAAAGAGAGTAGTTTTTGACAGAGCTGTATTTTCATTAGGAAGTGGAGTGATACCACATGGCTATTTCATAGTACTAACTCTGAAAATATATGAATTGTGGATGAGATTTGTGGACAATGAATGTTGTCTTACTCTACAGAAGACACCAGCTATGAATAAATGAAGCACAATATTTAATACAGTATGGCTTTCATACATGATAATCTAATCTACATGTAGTGGGTTTGTGTCTAAAAATTCCCAGGAAACTTAATCTTTCACCTGTTGCCAAGATCTGTTCCCACTGAAGCTAGTATCAAAGATCTCATTAACTCCCACAGGAAAAAGTCTTTACTCTTACGTAGTTATTGTAAAGTTTTAGCAGGTTTTGGAGTCATGAGTGTCTTTGTTTTACTCTGAAGCATTCTGTAGTGGGATCAGGTGGATGCATCTCATATTGCAGGTGTAATGTTGGTAAACTGGTCCTAATAGTTTTGACACTCAGATAATCTGAATTCTGCTTTTTTTCCTTTTTTGGGGGGTCCTGCATGGAGAGAGTGAAAAAGTAGAGTACTATAAACATGTGTTGGAGAAGAAATGTTCTTGGGTTGTTTGGTTTTTTGCTAAGCAGCTTTTTGCAGTTGTTCTAGTAATATTTTATGTCTTTTCTGACAATTCTCCATTTCCTTGCTATGCTGTTTGAAAGCCCAAGGTGTTCTAATTAGAAACCACTTTCAGCATTATCTGCAGGCCTATTACTAATTGTACAAGTTAATTTCAAGTTTGGAAGTGTAGTGGAAGGCTAGCGGTTTTGGRAATACTGTAATAAAACCACTTGTGCAGAAAAAATATTTTTTGTAGATAACAGAAATAATGGACCTGCATAGAGGAGAATATTGCTGTTTCAGTATTGTAAGCCACCTGAGCATAAAAGGGCTTTGTTCCTTGTGATCAGGTGCTTTCATATTTAGTGAGAGAGGAGGTATCTCAGACCTTTGTAATATCCAGATAGGCTTTTTTTTCACCCTTATAGTTTTAGCTACTAAACACAGTATGAGAAATGCAAATTTGTCTTAGGGCATAAATCTCATATTTTTGGCAACATACACCTAAACCATAAAGTGCAAAATCATTTGTTAGTGCTAGTGTTTTGCCTTTGCAGCACTACAAGGCTTTGACTGGCTTTCTAGATGTTCAGATAATTACTCTGATCTGTATATCTGCTACTGTAACGTGGTGAAGATAGATAAACTCACAATTAAAGGTTGAGCAGACAGGTAGAAAGAATAGGCTTAGCTAAGTATCTGTGGAGATGCTAATATAATGCTAATTGAGAAATTATAGTGGTTTAATTCATGAYAATTCAAATTGTCCTACAGATGTAATTTGTTATTTTGATAGTCTGCTATCCCTCATGAGTAATTTTTGGAATGCAAACTTCTTGAAATTCAGATACCTATAGGGAAAAAGGAATCCTTTGAGGAAGATACATTTATAGATAGACATAGATACTTGGCAAGGAAAGCAAAGAATGAAAAGGGGAAGATGAGTAAGGCAAGAGTCTGACCTGAATGAGATTGCCAAAACTGTTTACAATTTTAGGCCACTCAGTTTAGCATCATACTGAAGGATGTTGAGGTCTTGGGAATCTTATTCTCTTGGTCCTACTTCCACAGTTCACAAGGAAGTAAAAGGAATATACAGATAGGGAGGACAGTTACTGCAGAAAGGCCTGAAAAAATATCTCTTGCTTCAACTCAGTGTGGTGTTGCACTGGGACTTGACCTGCCAATGTGAACTGGTCAGTACTGTGTCATGAGGAAATACTATCTGAATTACTATTCTCAGTCTTTTAAGGACTCAATTCTGCTGTCATTTCTGCATGGGATGAGCCCTGGAGTTGTAGAGAACCATGTGGACTTCACAGGATCTATTCTTGAATGTGAAGCTCTGCCCAGGCATCAGCTGCAGAATTGTGTCCTTAACACACTCTCCAGCTGTAGTTATAGGGCTGTTGATATTAAGTGTAATTTGGATGCGTGTTATATAGCCAAAACCCTTGTTACTTCATTTTCCTAACTAAGGCATGAACAGAAGCCCTTTGCTGTACAACATCTGTAAAAAAATTAAAAATGTACTTCACATACGTCTAGTAAATTAAGGCATGTGATTTTGGTCTGTGGGTCTCAACAAACCTTGCTCGTGTACCTGCCTGAATGTTTTCCTAGATCTGCAGCTACATTTCAGTGAGAAGGTACGGTGGGATTTGTTTTCCTGAGGGGGCACAATAGCAGTTCTCACCTGCCACACTGGGGTGACSGCCTGCTACTGGCCAGGATCAGGGATGGATGCATCCTCGGCACTTTTATGTGAAATTGTCTGAAATATGGTGATTAACATGATTATTGGAATACTGTATTTTGTATAACTTAGAATATGTAAATACACTTTTAAAACTAATCTGTTCTATGAAGTAATAAATAAGTGCTTCCATTGTAATATCTGAATATTGTTAATGCTTCATGTAGCTTGATTTGGGATTATTTCTTTCCTAGAGAACTACAGAAATCAAAACAAAGATTGATGTTGTGGAATTCTAGTCTAGTTGTGATGCTTTCTATCAAAAAAAAATGTTTTAAAAATAATAATGAGCTACTTAAGCAGAGAAACTAAGGTTTTGAGGGAATTGATTCTCTTCCAGTCTTTATTTAACAGTCACTGATTACATTCATAATTGTACTCTTCCCATCCTGTTAACTGGACAGTTGATTTGTTTGTGAGTAGTATTTGGAAAGTAGCAATATTAAATTATTTGTAAACCTTAGTGACTGAGGAAGACTAAAGCTGGGTGGTTTTTATTGAGTGTTTTTTTTTTAACTATTCTCTCTTTTGGCTCAAACAGATCTGTCTCCACCCTTCAGCCAGACTGCAGCAAGTTGCAGTGAAACAGTGAGTGACTGTTACTGAAGCTCATTTGTGACCTAGATAGTCTACATCTTTATTAGTTCCATTATGTACATAGATGACACAGGTTTCCTGTTGTGGTGTGGAAGGAGAAAGTGATTAATGACTTGTGGTTTTGCTGAGTACATGTTCACTGGATGCTGCACAGCTGGGACTTTCATCAGCTTTCATGACCTTTTCTATCTTGTGTTAAAAAGAAGAAAATAGAGAACAGTGAAGTGAGAATCATGAGCAGTCTGCTAGGAAATCTGAATGCTTGGGTTTTGAGGAGGAGGTGAGATTAATCCATCAGCCTTCATGTAAAGAGATTAGCCTGTGATGACACTTTCTCCAGCCATAATGTAATTTCGTCTTTCATGCTGTACGGGAGCAGTCTCCTCTCTGGCAACAGCTGTGTGTCTGCAGTGTTCCATAAATGACAAAGCCACGTATTTTGTAGTGGGCAGAGACAATGGCATCTCTTCTTATTTTCTTATTTTTATTTTCTCCTCTCTTAGTGTCTCTAGGCTGTAAAACAGCTATGAAATAGCTAAGCATATGTGCAAGTTATCCTGAAAACTCTGTTCTTGTAAAACTTTTTCAGACACATACAGTTTTTAACTGAATAGTTTGAGGGAACTCCTATCTGCTATATTTGGCCTGAAATTCTGTTGCCTCTTGGATAAAAGTATTTTTTTTTCTTCAGATGTGACACTGATCTGTCCCATTCATTCAGTGGGATGGGTGATAAATCTGCACAGTATTTATATAAGATATAAATCTGATCTTAGTTTTACTGCATGTTAAGATGTTTAATCTCTTGGATGTCTATTCCTTGAGGTTGTCTATGTAATTCCTGTATATGTGCTGCTTTTTGAAGCAGTTCATCAAGTGCATTTGAGATCATCCTGACTGAAAGATTCTTTAGAAGTGAAAGAGATAATAAAGCTTGTAAAGAAGCTGGGTAAAATTGTATTGCCATAAATGGTTTTATTTATATATGAATCTTCTGTCCCAAACTGCTTATTTTGTACATAAACCTAAACACTCCTGGCAGCTGACAGGTGGAAATAAAGGTGCTTAAACAGCAATCTAATGAGGAAAGGGCATTTCACTATTACAGAGTTGGTATTATTTTATATTTCCATTTA